CCCGATAATGTGCCACAGAAATTGAGAAAAAGAACCGAAAAGCAGTCAGTCAAAAACATGTAAAATGAATTTTGCTATGAAAGCTCGACAAGCGCTAGTGCATTGAGGATAGCCACGGCATCTCTGTCTGAGATTCACTAGGGTAGTTTGTGTTTCTCTGTGGGATCCCCTCGATCTTGTTGTATCCTCGCGAATTACTCTGCTTTCTTCTTGTTAATGATTGCACGGGGCCCCGGCAACTGCCGTAGTTCCTCGTAGTGCCTGTTTAATGATCATTCCACCGCTTTGTAGAACTATTTTACTATGGTAACTGATGTTCTACTCCATAGTTCGCGCTCTGAAAGTTATTGCAATGAATGCTGAGTTATGGACAAAAGTCAGACCCAGACGGGACTCGAACCCGCATATCACGTTTTCCAGAGCGAATGCGCTATCCGCTACGACACTAATATCATAATAAAAAACCTCTGAACTCGTAAAGCCTTCACTCTCGCGGCTCACTGCTGATATCTAACGATTACCATAGTCTGGCTCACCATATTAAACGTGTGAAAGGTGTAAGGAGGGTAGAAGCCGTAAAGCTGACAGCGAAGGAGTGGCCCTGATGGCGCAACGGATCACACTCTCCCAGAAATCGTATGATGCGGGGTTTGAGTTCCGCTTGGGGTCAAACTTTTGCCCATAACGTAGCATTCTTGTGACAACATTGTGGAGTGGTTGTGAAAATAATTGGTGAGATATTCTAGTGCAGCAGGAGGATCATCAGTACCATGGAACAGGGTCTCCGTAAACATTAAAATGGCTCTAACCTAGCCGAGAAGAGCACTATGAAGCAGCACCTCCTTGTCCCTTTTTAAGAGTTTCCTAAAAAGAAATGTCCGCTTATGCCTATTCTCTAGCAGAGCCCTCTCTTTTCTATACGTTCTTATTAGGTTGGCGAGAAAGTTCTGTCACATTTTTTCAAATTAGACTTTCTTTTTACAGAGAGGCGTACAAGATCAAAATTATACAGCAATGTTATTGATCGGAAATAATTGC